GATGGTAATGTATCCAAATTAAAAATGCTGCAGAAAATGGGAGTCGAGCCTGGAGAATATTCGGTAAGTGCCATGAAAATTCTTGATAGAGAAAGGTTAATGAAAGCAGTGTATGCTTTTTCTGGAAGAGCGAAGAAAATTAGAAAAGATAAAAGAAGAAAAAGAAAAAAAAAGAAGAAGAAAATATTAAAAGAAAAATAAGGTAAAACCGGCTATAGTGCAGGATCTTTTTGATGAGGTAAAATTTTATACAAAAGCTACTGTTTTCTAAAAATTTTCTTTTCTAAACTGTGTTTTCTATAAATGTACTGTATGCATGAACTGGAAATTTTTATTTTATATTTCATATATATTCTTGTGTATACTGAAGTGAAATTTTTGAAATATTCCTCAGACATTTAGCTAAAAAGCATATGTCGTAACACAGAAAAGGAAAATTTTTATTAAATTCCTTATTTTACTCTGCAAAAATTATTTTTTTTTAATCAGGCTGATCAATTTTTTAAAAAAAGATTTCACTTCTGTATAAAAATAAATGTTTATTTAATGCACACACAAATATATCTCAAAATGCGTTGCATGAAGCTTGTTATATACAAAAAAAAATCATAAATTTCATGTTTAAAAACACAAAAATAGTTTTCTTGTTGTTTTGGATACTATCTATGTAATATTTATATAATCTTTTAATTCTTATATTTAAAGAAATTGTGTTTACATGTGAATATACAAAACACTAAAGAAATTTTTCGAAGTGCCATATAATCATGTATTACTGTCTTATATAGATTATATTTTTTAATTTGTGTCTTCTTTCTCTATAAATTAATTGTATGCATGAACTGGAAATATTTATTTTATATTGCATTTATATTATATATACTGAAATGAAATTTTTGAGATATTCCTCAGACATTTAGCTGAAAAGCAGATGTCGTAACATAGAAAAGGAAACTTTTTATAAAATTCATTATTCTACTCTACAAAATTACATTTTTAAACATGCTGATCAATTTTTTAAAAAAAATTTCACTTCTGTATAAAGATAAATGTTTATTTAATGTACACACAAATTTTTAAGCTTTGTTTTCAATAGTTTCTTAGTAAAAGGGACATAAATATATCCCAAAATGCAATGCCCTTTTTCGTTGCACAAAACTTGTTACATACCAAAAAATACACAAATTTCATGTTTAAAAACATAAAATCAGTTTTCTTGTTGTTGTTTTGGATACCATTTATGTAATATTTTAAGAATCCTTTTAATTCTGATACTTTAAGAAATTGTGTTTACATCTGAATTTATAAAACACTAATGAAATTTTTCGAAATGTCGTATAATGATGTATTACCAAAGCCATATTTTCATGTATTGACACATTTTTACATGGTATTTATGATACTTATAGTCAACTTGGATGACAGTAATGTATCAGAACTAAAAATTCTTCAAAAATTGATGCATAATTTGAGAAAAATTATGCAAATGCTATAAAATATCTCGATAGATTAAAAGTGAAAAATGCTATACATGTATTTTCTGAGAAATCTAAGTAAAAGAAATAAGTAAAAAGTCTCAAAAGTTATTGAGAATAAGCTAATATTTAAAAAAAATAGTGCAAATACAGATTGTAATTCATAATTTTTTTGATGAAGTGACATTTTATAATAAAAATGCAATTATCTCAAAACGGTGTTTTTAAAAATGCGAGTACCATTTTCTCAGAACCTATTCAACGGAAGCACTTGCAATCTTCACTGAATATTACTGATATGTTAATATATATACTGAAGTGAACTTTTATTAATATACCGATAATATTTTTGTAAAAGTCAGTTATCGTGAAAAAAAATGACATTTTTCAAAAAATTCATAGTGATACATTACGATGAAAGTTTTTGAAAAAACTAAACAATATATTTGAAAAAGCTCACTTCAGTTTAAATAAAAAAGTCTAATTAATATACAGAAAAAAATTTAAGTCTGTACATTTAATATTTTATGAGAAAAAGGCACATAAAAATGCTCAATTTAACATTAGCGGGATAGGGGTACCGACTTACCTATGTATTGATTGGGCAATCAAACTTGAAAATACACCAATTATTTTGTATGTTATTGTTAACATTTTAAAAACATTTCCAGAGATCTCGGTTTTACCTTTTTGAAGTTTCGGGTTAAATTTACTGAATGCTATAGTTTGTGTTCAAGAGAAAATGCTTTGTTCATAATTAATATTTTGGAACTTTAATTTTGATATTTAATAAGAGAATTGATGACTTTATAGTTTTTAACACGCTTTTATAAGTTTCACTTCCATGTAACGGAATCTTGGAACTCGATTTTTACCCACTTTAATAGGTCAGAGTTGACACATTTATTCGTACAAAAAAGTTAAAAAGCTCCTATTACACACGGTAAGCGAAAATTAGAGCAAATTAATTATAGGAAAGAGCACACTCAAACGTAAAAACAAGAAGCACTGCTTAGCTATGAATTTCATCGTTCCTGGAATATGCCCTTCCAAATATTTCCCCCACCTTTCCCCCGAAATAAATACATTCTGTAGAAGTACTTCCGATGTTATTTTATTGTATTCCAAAGCCCTGGGACTACTTTTATACAGACTAACACAATACAAAAGGTCCTCATTTGAAAGGAGGAGTATACACGTCCGGGGCACTAAAGGCACAAGCTCAGTAGGACGTGTAAACACGCCCGAGCCAAGGGGTTAAAAGCCTAAACGTCACTCGCTAGAATAACGGTATGTATTATATTTCCTTTGCATTGTCTTTTTTAGCATCAGATTGGGAACAAGTTGTTCGATATCGTCCCTTTTGTTATTCATTTCACCAATGGAATGTGTGTCTAAATAACTACGCATATTTTCCCTCCTGTTCCCCATTTCGGATGACATGAGAACAGGAGCTGCATTATTCATATCATTTTCATCGTCGCAATCGGGCTCAATGATAATTTTTGAGCTTTGAACAAACTTCAAAATGTCTTTGTCTGTAATAATTGAGACTGTACGCTCATTAGCATCATCTACTGGATCGAATTCTTTCGATAATACACTAGGACAGTCCAACCATTCAGAAACATTTCATGAAGTTTCGGCTCAGATTCAAAATCCTTTCGTATTAAGCGATTTTCGTTTCGTGTTAAGAGAAAAAATTGCACGAAAACACATAGCAGTTTGTTCAGACCACTCTATTATTTCGTGTTAACCCAATCAAGCCCCTTAAGCGCAATCACGTATTTAACTGTAATACTATTTATCTAAATTTACTATAAACTTCATCGAATTTTACGAAATCACTACGAAGAATCTCAGTCAGTCTTACGAGTGCAAACAGCGATCGCTTATATTCGAGTGTGAAAATAACAACGGCATAAATACGACTCCACTCGAATTATCTCGATTGGGCACAGTTTTGCTAATATAGCGTGATCGAATTAACTCGATGGCACTCGTTAAGGGGTAAATTTGCAAACGGGTCTTGTTACTAAGATTGGAGCAATCATGTTTTTTTTCAATTCCTACTATTAGCTCATTCTCTCTCTCTATTTATCTTGTTCAAAATTTCAATCGTTAATAAAATGCATTTTAAAGCACTTAATTGAGCTGAAATTTTATATACATGCTTATTTTGGATGACAATACAGTAATTTAATTATAATTAAAAACATTAATTGATTAAGACTAATTATTCAAAGAATTGCAAATACAGACACGTTGGCATCATTTTTGGTGACATGTGTCAAAACTTGAAAAGGTTTTTTTCTCACATTTTAAAGCGCTCATTTAGCTGAAATTTTCTATACACTATTGCATTGAGTAACAATACGATAATTTAATTATAACTAATTAAAATTAATTGATTGAAATTAGTCTTTGAAGAATTACAGATACAACCCCGTTGGCTTCATTTTTACCAATTTGAGTCAAAACTTTAAGAGATGTTTTTTTCCCCCCACGTTTCAAAGCATTCAGTTGAACTGACATTTTATATACACGACTGTTTTGGATCACAATACCATATTTCAATGATAATTAATAAAAATTAATTGCCCCTTAATGTTGTGATACTGTCATATGTATATGCATATTTATATTAATTGTAACTATTTAATAAAAAGTAACTAAAATAATTTTTCTTGTTGATCTAAGTAGGAATTGGCTTACATTTTTTTTATATTACTTGTTTTTTTTTGCAAGATGAAAAACCCATGTTTGACCTCTTGCGATCAATTATGACCGCTTTTTTACCACACGGTATATTTAGGGGAGAACAATATTTTGCTTAGAATTTGGAAAATTTGTCTATTGTTATATTGGAGTGTGCAACATCTATATATTTTAGTACTTACGTATTATTGCAACCGTATTGGCCACATAATGCGAAAAAAAAGCATCTGGTTGCTAATTCAATGCGTAAGACACATGCGAAATCGGTGTTGCCAACTTGGCATGTTAACTTAAAAGTTGGCATTGTTGCGGTTACACTTAAGTACCCATATCTTAAAGCATCCACGTTAAGAACTTAAATTAAAGGAAAATATAAATTTTTTAAAATTTATTTAATGAAAATTTAAAACCTTATTTATAGCTTTCTAAAAAAAATCCCTTTCTCTTAAAGCAAAGAAAAGTAGAAATAGAATTATAAGCATTTTCATTTGAAATGTTTCCAAGAAGAAGAAAGAAAAAAAAAACTAGTAATATGTTTAAAAAATCAAGTCAATTCCTACATAGGTCAACAAAGAAAAATTTCACATTTTAGTTACTTTTTATTAAATAGTTACAATTAGTATACATATAGATGTGACAGAATTACAATATTAAGTGACGAAATAGAAAGGGATTTTCCTTGCAATTTTTCATTTTCCTTTCTATATATGACGTTGGACTATTTGTTTCTTCCTTTATTCATTAATTAAATTTAATTATTCTAATAAAATAGTACAGTAAAAAACGAAAACACATTCTGATGTACTAGGTCACCTAGATGGGATTCGAACCCACGACCTTTGAATTAGAAGTCCAACGCGCTATCTATTGCGCTACAGAGACACAACGAAGTACTTTCCTTTCTATATATGCTGTTAGACTATTGTTTTTGTTTGTTACTATTTATATATTTTTTAATTTAATTAATGAATTAATATTTGAAAAAAACTGTATTAACATCAAGTGCCATCCACTACAAGTTTAAAAAAATGTATTTGAACTTGATTGGTTGAATAGAAAGTATTTTATTAACGATTGAAAATATGAACAAGATAAATATATAGAGAGATATTGTGAGCAAATAGTAGGAATTGAAAAATACAATCAAAATTAGGCAATATAAAGGGTACTAATGAAGCATTAATAATAATAAAGCTATTTTTTATTTATTCAATGATCAGAAAGAAAACTGCTCTTGCTTTTGTGTGTCACTTTCAACCAGTTGTATTTACGTTACCTTATTCTGAGCCTAGCTTTCAATTGTCGTATACAGTGTTAGCAAGAAATAAGTGGCCCACTTCAGAGGGCTCTAGAATTCCGTCTTATTGATCCAAATGACATAGATTTTAACCACAGATAATTCAAATGACGCGCTTAACATTTACTAAATAAAAAAAAAAATAGTTCAAATTTTCACTGGTAGGTGGCGCTGTAACACACATAGTCTTATTTAATATGTTTTAAAAATATGCGCTAAAAAAATATAAAGTAACTTCAAAAAACTGCTCAATATGATACCTTTCATGTTCAACAATGTGCTGTAATCGCAGAATCATATTTTCAAACGCTGATCGGGGTAAATCTGCCGGAATAAGTAAAACATGGCGCCAAATGCTGTCCTTCCAATCTGATGGTCTTTAACGGTAGATATTTTCCTTTGGATAACCCTACAACCAAATGTCTCTGGGGTCATATCCGGCGAACAAAGAGGCCATGTTGTTGAGAAATTCACAGCTGCTACGGAGTTCTTCTGGTTCTGGTAGAACAATTTTACTAATGTCGCTTTTTCTTTCAACGTTGGCATGATGAGCATGCAGAGAAGCAGTACTTCTCTAGCAGAACCCGCCTTATTTTTATCCAAAGAATAATGCTGATAGGCATGCGCTGAAACACAAATCCTGTTTCTGAATTTGAATACATGCAAATAAGTACTATTTGTATCATATTGAACAATTTTATTTGTGTTACTTTATATTTTTGACGTATATTTTTAAAACATATTAAATAAGACCATGTGTATTACAATACCACCTACCGGTGAAGATTTGTACTAATTTCTTTATTTAATAAATATCAAGCGAATCATTTGAATTATCTGTAGTTAAAATTTTACTTCATTTGGATCAATAGGATGGATTCCCTCTGAAGTGAGCAACTTATTCCTTGCTAACCCTGTATATTTAAAAAAGAAAAGCGACTCACTCACTCTCTCACTCATCACGATATCTCGGGATCGATTTGGCCTATAGACTAGAAATGTGGTAGGCGTGCTCCAGATTTTGCGAGAATCAACTCCCAAGAGGCGTTGCGAAGGCTTAAGAGGCGTTATAAATGAATATTTCCGTTTTTGAGCTATTAGCGCTACAGAGTCAAAATTAAAAAGGCACGATCCTTTCATGGAGACGAGATCAGTTACAAAATGGGTTTTGCAAAAAGGAACGCTATAGAGAAATATATATTCCCATTTTTGAACTATTAGAGTTACATCCTTAAAATTGGATAAGCATGTTACTTTTCATTGAGTAGAAAACTTTAACAAAATGGGTTTTGTGAAAATTGACTCTGAAGGAGCGCAACGAGGGCTTAAGGAGCACATTAGAGGTAAAAGTTCCCGTTTTTGAATTATTAGAGCTACAGACATGAAATTGGGCAGGCATATTCTTTCATAGAGTGGTGGTTCCACCAAAATATTATTTTGCGAAAATCGACTCCTATCATGGAGCAAGGTCCTTTTTCTTAAATCAAGATGAGTGATGAGTGAGAAAAGAACGCTTAAAGCTAGGACTTGGATAATAATAATTTATAAATATATAAACAGCATATATTCAACCAATCATCCTCACGAAATACCCAGCGAACCGTTTTTCCTCAATACCACTTGGGTTCATAAGAAATAAATGTAGGGAATGAAAACTACCTGTATTTATTAGGACTGTGTTCGTCTGTTAAAGCGAAATAACCTTCCATTTCCGGTGCACTGATTTCGCACCACGTTTGTGCAAATGCTACAAAAAATAACTGATTGCTTGTTAAGGGCAGACCTGGCAGTGGTGGTTCTGCATGGTTCCTTGCAACCCAGTTCTGGTATGCCTACAAAACATAGAAATGAGCATTAATGTTTTATTTTAAGTGCGTTACTTAAGAAAAAAATGACATAAGATTTTATACGTCACAAATAAATAAAAAAAGTGTTGTATGAGGCATGGAATATAGTACATTTTAGAATAAACTTACTTTAAATGAAGCCTTTACAGCTCCGTTATCAGCTATGTTATCGCCCAGCGTTAGTTGTCCATTCACCTGAGAGCGAAAAAAGTAAAACTTGTGAATTCATTTAGAAAAGAAATTAAAAACTAGTGTAATAAAATAACATATGTTTAAAAATGTTATATTTGTATCGAATATAGAAAAAAAAACACAGTTTATTAATGGATAGACTCATAGACAAAAAAATTAGCACACCAAGAAATAATTGCGGGATTGTAACAAAACTGCATGAAGGTACCTACATGTCAGAGACATATGAAATTGATTAGAAATGAAGCGTGATTGCGCATTACGTATATCCGGTAGAGGGCGTTTAATGTCGTTCTTCGTGGAGTATAAAACAGGTACCCAAGCTTGTTTGAGTGTTCTGAATCGTTTAGAAAGGTAGAGCTGTGGTAGACATGCCATTACGCCGTTTTCGAAGACAATATGAGCAGCTGTCGCAGTTTGAGCGGAGGAGAATCATCGGCATGATGGAAGCTGAGTGGTCAGCTAGACGAGTAGCTCGTCAATTAGGCCGCTCTGATTGTGTTGTAAGGAGGTGTTGGGACCAGTGGGTCCGAGAAATGTCATTTACACGAAGACCAGGCGCCCTCGTTCAGACCAGTCATCCAGAAGACCACCACATCGTAAGAAATGCACGCGTACAGCCAACTGCTTCATCAGCCGCCATCTAGGCACAGGTAGCACCTTCACTAGGGGCCTCTGTGTCTTCCCGAACCATACGAAGGCGCCTGGTTGAAGGATATTTGGGATCGCGGTGACCATTACGTGTGCTGCCCTTGAAGCCAACCCATCGACTCCTCCGTTTGAACTGATGCCACTCACGAGGAAACTGTACTGCAGCGGAATGAAACCAGGTTGTCTTTAGCGACGAACCCGGATTCAATCTCAGCAGTGATGACAATCGTGTTCGTGTGTAGAGACCCCGTGGTGAACGCCTCAATCCTGCCTTTGCTTTACAGTGACACACAACTCCCGCGGTCACCCCCTAGTATTGATCCGTGGCATTATGACAGCCCAGTGGTAAGTCCATGACATCCTGCAACCACATGTGTTGCCACTCATGCAACGGATCCCAGGAGCCATTTTTCAACAAGACAATGTTCGGCCTCACATTACAAAGGTGTCACAAGACTGTATCCGCACTGTTACTACCCTTCCTTGGCCTGCCCAATCCTCAGATTTGTCTCCAGTCGAGCATATCTGGTATCATTTGGGACGGCGAGTTGGGCATCCCACGAATTTGAACGAACTAGGGGCAAGGTTACAGCAAATATGGAAACAAATGTCTCGAGACATCATACAGAACTTGTATGCCTCAATGTCCAATCGTATCGTATCGTATCGTGCAATCGCGCTAGAGAGGGTTCAACAGGGTATTAAATCCTCCGTACTTTTGCCTTTTTCTCTGAAGTAAATTATCCTTTTTTATTTTCTAATCATTTACTTATATCAAAGTAATCATTACATATGTAAAATTTGGTTTCATTTTGACGACTCCTTCTTGTGGTGCGCTCATTTTTTTTTTTTTTTTTGTCCATGCGTGCATGCATCAAATATCATCCAAAATTGAAGAGATTTTAACGTTTTTTATAAAACTTATATACAATACAGACTGATTTTTTTAAAAAAAACTCATACTATTGAGAGTCATCTGCATAGCTAGAGCTAAAGACCGCAATAGCACCAAAATTGATATGCAGATTAATGATGACATGGGAAGCAATTTTCCTGAAAAGATAGTTTAGTTAAAAAAATCGTCAATAGGCGATGTTGTTGCTCACTAAAACGAGAATTAAAAAAAAACTAAGTTATGAAAACAAAATTTAAAAGTATAATTTCATACGTGCCAACTATGACAGTTATTTTTGACTCTACAAATATGAAGATACAGGACCGATCTTAAGGGTCTGCCCCCCCCCCGTGCAAACACTTAAATTGCCTCTTCTATAATGAATTTTTCATATTTTGACAAGTACTTATCATTGACGTTATTAACTCATCTAACCGTATAAAAGCAAAAAGTAATCAATAATATAATGTAAAGACACGAAAACTCAATTTTTACCTCTATTTTGTTTTTCAAAATTGTAAGGAGGTTCTTAAATTGGAAACGGTTCAATTTTCTCAAATAATATTGAATTTAATCATTCCTATGTCTTAATTAATAATGATCTCTCATCTTGGAAATTTTCGTAAAGAGTATTTTGTAGAAATCTGTTTTGAGACGCCTTTATTAAGCATTAGTGCCACTAATAAGCAAGAAAACACCTTTACTATTGCAGAATTACCAGCTTTGCCACGAATTTTGCTACCAAATGAAGGATGTGTAAAAAGAGTAGACGTTAATAGACAAAGGACCAACACATTGAGCACTATATAACATTCTATTTCTCTTAAATTATGCCATGCTTTCAAGAAATCGGGACTCATTTTGATCTTTCAATAACCATTTAAAATTCAACATATTTATTCGACTTAATATAATCTTTTGAGAAATTTGTAAAACATTTTGCTTGATTGATAGAACTATATGCGACCATCCTTTTGTCTTGGCCGCCTGCGTGCGGTAC